TTTTTTTTTTTTGTTACTTCTAATTCTGTTATTCACTATTTTGGTTCCGTTATTGAATATAAACTGGAATTAAGCTTGAAAAGCCAGGGCCTCAATTTGTTGGGTGCATTGTTCATGTGAGTTGTAGTTTTCAATTGAACAATATTGTTGAGCGGAGAAATTATGCTGGCCATCTCTATAAATGATCATAAAAAAATTTGTGTGTTGGGGTGTATGTATTTATGTTTCTTGTACATCCACAATTCTGTCTTCGTATTTATTTTTTTGGGTCTGTATGTTTGAGAGTGAAGAAACGTGTTTTTATGTTAACTCATCCATATATTAATAAGAAGGCTACAGCCCATTTGAAGAAGTGTGATATTCTTGGAGTTATTATGTATTTATGATTGATTATAACTTTGCATTTGTCGTTACCTTCTATTTGTACCAAACTATTACTCAAAATCTCCAACTAGCTAAACGTTGGCACCGGTTGCACTTCTTTAGTCCTTTCCTTCAATTTGTACGAAACTATTCCTCGAAATATCTTGGGACCGGTTGAGTTCTTTGGTCCTTTTTTCCGTTAGCTCCTTAGGACATTGTCATGTGGGCTATTCACACTGTGTTGGGAACGATTAAGCAATTTTATGATGTGTCAAGTTTCACAACAGCTAATGTATTATCCATATGATCCCACACTTCTTCCATATCACTTTACAAAAATGTGCTGAAACAGAATTTCAGTCCCTTTTCTACATTGAATCATTTCTTACAAATTTATGCACGTTCGTTGCCTTTTATTTTATGTCCTCCATCAATTAAGTGAAACTGTGGCATTCATTTCATTACCTAGTAGAAATAATTGATTGTGCAGTCTTTTGATGTTCTCTTTTCCTGATATGACCGTGATTTAAATTGGTACTTCTATTGTAGGGTTGCACACTTCGGTGAGCTTGCCCCTGAGTGCGTTAATGCTTACTACAAATTTGGATGTGCTCTTTTGTACAAAGCTCAAGAGGAGGCTGACCCATTGGGTTCTGTGCCCAAAAAAGAGGGTGCATCTCAGGATGATTCCAATGTAGATGGCTCCACCAAAGTTGCACATGCTGAATCCTCTGCTGCCTCAGTCTCAAACAAACCAGAAGGTGGAAATGATAATTGTTCAAATGAAGCTCTAGAAAACATTCAGTTTTGTACTCTCTCATTTTCTTTCTTTCTTTCTTTCCCTATTTTTTTTTTTTAGTGAAATGCACTGTTAGTGATGCTTTTTTGAGTACTATGTGGTTAAACATGTTTTGCACTAGCACGATTATGCTGAGCAATTTGGGAAAAGTTTTTCGCACTGATCATCAATATGTATCATATAACTTGTCAACAAGGTTTGTACACGTGTTAAAAATTTGTTAGTTTGTTAGCGACTGTATTTATAAATAGGCAGATACATTTCTAACTTCTCGACCGTTTAAGATAACTGTCTGATGTGGTGTCTGATTAAAATACATTACAGTGTCTCACCTATTCCTAGAGATTATGTGAATGAAATGTAGTTACTATTTCAATCATACTAACTGTGATTGCTTCTTGGATATCATAGCTGAAGATGAAAAAGGAGAAGAAGGTGAGGATGAAAGTGATGATGAAGAACTTGCTGATGGTGATGAGGATGAATCTGACCTGGACTTGGCATGGAAGATGCTAGATGTTGCTCGGGCTATTGTTGAGAAGCACTCAGGTGACACGATGGAAAAGGTGGACATACTGTCAGCCTTAGCTGAAGTAGCTCTAGAAAGAGGTTTGAAGTTTTTCTGTTCATGAATTTCTGTAATCATGGTTTTTTATTTGCAGAAAGTTATTTTGTAGTGTGGTCTTTCATTGCTCAGTAATAAATGTTTATTTTTGCTTTGTCCAGAGGATGTCGAAACTTCACTGAGTGACTACTCAAAAGCCCTTTCCATTTTGGAGCGCCTGGTTGAACCTGACAGTCGGCTCATAGCTGAGCTGTATCCTTTTAAGATCAAAATTTAGTTGTTCGGAAGTTTTATATTTTGGAGATGGGTGGGATTTATTTATGTTTGTGCAAAGTTTTTTTCAAAATCATTGTGAGAGAAGAATTGCTCTTTCAAATTTGAAATATTTGTTCCGTAAAAAGGTAAAAACCGAAAGTTATGTTACTGTGTTGCAATTGCCTTATATGAAAATAAACTTCCTTAACATGGGTAAATCAGTAATTTCAGGATATGCCTGTGTCTGGAAATTGGTTCTAAACCAGAAGAAGCTATTCCATATTGCCAAAAAGCTATTTCTGTCTGCAAGTCCCGAGTCAATCGACTTACAGAAGAAGCAAAGAACTTATCAGGATCAGCCGAAACAGAAACTGCTCTCGAGTCAGAGAAAACAATTCAACCATCTTTGAGTGCATCTATATCATCAAGTGACTCTCTAGCAGAGAAAGCAGCTGAGATTGAGACACTCACTGGTCTATGCAGTGAACTAGAGAAAAAAGTACGGGTTCTCTCACTAGATCTGCTTGCTAATAAATACAAGTGATAATACAAAATAAACTAACCACTTATGAGGTTTAGATTAATTATAGAATAAACCCAACTTTATTTCTCAAAATTATCAGCATCCATTTTATTTTCGATTCTTTTTCACACAGTACTCTCTCAGCAAGAGGTTTTTAGATTTTTCTTTTATCATTTTTTGATCTTTTTATTTATTTATTTATTATTATTATTTTTTTGGGGTTCCAGCTTGAAGATCTCCAGCAGCTTGTATTGAACCCAAAATCCATCCTCTCTGACATTCTTGGAATAATGTCCGCAAAGGCTAAGGCAGCCGAGAAAAGTGCTTTGCCAGCAGCAACGAGCTCCTCACAGCCAGTTTCTGCCGGAAGTACAACATCTGCAGCAGTAAGCACCACCAACGGTACAAATGGTGCTTCTGGAGTCACGCATTTAGGTGTGGTGGGTAGAGGAGTGAAGAGGGTTGTGATGAGCTCGACTATGCAGGTGGGCCCCGCGAAGAAGCCGGCCTTTGATGACCCGTCTAACAGTGGTGATGGGAGTAGTGCTTAATTATGACACATTGTTTTGTTTAGTGTATGGCTTCTGGCGCTAAATCTTGGTGTACTACAGTCTATTTCTGTGAGGGCATACTATGCTACGAATCTCGTAAGGCATGATTGGATTAAGTGCGAGTATTATTAATTGTTGCTTTTGATGCTATGGACTATTTGAACGATTGTTTATCTATTAGTAATTACTTAATCTTGTACCTCACTACTACGACTCGATTTAATTTGTGCCCGAACAGTGTGCTCTTGTTTTTGCCGTGTGATTGTATTCAAAATTAAATGTACAAATTCAATAAATACCATTGTACTAAAAATCGGCTTAGCGGCTGCCTAGGGGCTAAGCGTTGCCTTGTCTCTTTCGATTTGCATAAATTGGCTGAAAAAATTGGCAACGCGGCTGGGCGAACTCAGCAGCCAGGTCACTCCTCGGTGCTCCTCGGTGAGTGAGTTGTATATTTTTATTTTATATATTTTTATTGTTTTGGAAGTGGTTTGATATATTTGAAATTCTACGTGACTATTGCTTTTTTATTTTTTCATTTTTTTTTTTATTTTTTTGTGGAGCTAGTTATGTCTTTTGCCTTGTATAGGGAACAATCAAGCTATTGGGCCAACAAATTAGGAAATGAGTCCAGCCCAATTTAATCTAAAGGCCTTTCTATCCTTCCTGAGCAATTTCGGCGCAAAGCCCTAATCTAAAAACCCTAATAATCGAACGGCTGAAGTTATATAAACATGTCCCCTGTACTTGCTTCTTTCACCGCCACATTATTTCCTTATGTATGCAGTTTTATTCTTCTTTTGTTATTTTCCTTAAACTTTCAACGTTGAACTTCGGATACGGCGATGTTTCTCGGTGATGTACAATTTACGATGACGAGTCCGATCGAAATCCATTCGTTTTTAAAATCGTGACGACAAATCGAGGCATTTGTCTGAGACGAACTTCGCCTCTTCTTTTATTTTCTTTTTCTTTACCTTACTCTATAATTTTTCTTTTTCTTTCATTTTATTGGTTATGGAATCATTCCGTCCGGGTTGTAACCGTTAGATCATTATATAATCGTCGGGATAGTTGATCTAACGGTTATAAATCTTGACTAAATGATTTCGTAATAGAATTTTCATGTTAATTTAACCGTATACTGGTGGGCATAATGAGGATCAAAGTTGTTCTGAATTATTGTTGATTGAGTTAATACAACAAACCTCCTACTCATTCTGAGTGCCCTGTTTTCAGCTTTCTTTTTCAAAAATTGTTAGGTTTTCAGTATTGTTTTTTACCAAATTTGTTGATTATGGTCCCGTTTGGAAGATAGCGGATTGAGGATAAATTAGCGGATTGGATTTAATTGAGAGGTTTGACCCGTCAAATTCGCTATTGAGCTTGTTTGGTAAATAACTTATTTGATAAGCTTTTTAGGCCCAAAACTCTAATGCTTGTTTGGTAAATAACTTATTTGATAAGCTTTTTAGGCCCAAAACTCTAATTTAGAAAAAGCTCGTTAGAGAAGTTTTTGGGGTTGTTTGATAAATAACTTATTTGATAAGCTTTTTAGGCCCAAAACTCTAATTTAGAAAAAACTCATTAGAGGAGTTTTTGGGGATAGATGATTCACAATCTACAATTTTAATTTAGAATTTTTAATTTGTATCATTTATTTTACAATCTATATTGGTTTATGATGCTAACTAATAATATGGCATTCATATGTTTAATTTATCTAGAAAAATGTAAAATAACTTCTTAATCAAGTGTTAGTAAAATTAAAAAAATATATATATTTATAAATTACCAACTAAAAAATATTAAATGTTTTAACATATTATTATTAAAAGAATACACCCTAAATAATAAAATGTTCTTATTGGTAATTTGCAATGTCAAACAGTTATAAGCTTTCAGCTATCTACCAAACACTTATTTAAAAACTGCTAATATAATTCTCTAGTCAAATTAGCTAATATAATTTGCTATCTGCCAGCTAATATAATTTGCTAGTCAAATAAGCTAATATAATCTGCTATCTGTCAGCTAATATAATCTACTATCTGTTATTCATTAATACAATTCGCTATCCGCTGATCGCGCTTATGTGTCCTTTTTTTTTTTTTTTTAATCGAGAATCTTTTTCCAGATTTGAGTGCTTAGAATATTCTGTTTGCGACCTTAACATTCTGGAGTTTACAGATTTACTAGTTGCAACCTGTGCATTTGCACTAATTATTAAAAAAATGTTTTAACAAAGATAAATCTAAATATTATTAAATATTTTTTCATATACAACGTCCGTGGTTTTGCTATCGCCAGAAATCTCAATCACCACAAATTATTATTTTTAAACTTCTTTGACTGGTAAAGACAACTCAAAATTTAAAACGACTCAGTTAGCCCATTAGACTTAAAAGTTTGAACAACAAACGTTAAGATTATTATTTTTTTTAATCAAATAGTCTAACATGTATGAATGACCCAAACTAAACATTGGCCCAATCCTTGTTTTATTATATGGTCATAGTGTGCGTAGAAAAACTAATGGTTGAAATTTTTTTTAATATTTTTAACTCAAATGACCTAAAATATTGGCCCAATGCTTTTTTTATTAAATGGTCAGATTGCGTGTGGAACATTTAGGAAACTTGTTGGGGGAGGAGGGATTTTGGGAGAAAATCCTAGCCCGAGACAATTACACCGCATAACCATTAGACTCCTTCCAAAATTTTATGTTCCCTCAGATCGGAGAAGAAAACACAATCATTTCTCCTTATTTCATCATACCGCTTTCGAAATAATAGAAAGTCAGTGAAATAGGTCGATACATCTCGATGAATTTGTTAGCTATTTTTTTTGTGTTTTCGCTTTCTAACATATAGAAAGTACAGTAGGTCGAAATATATCGGCACAACTGATTTTTAGTCTTTTTTTTTAATTTTATTGTTACTTTTTATGTAAAATATGCAAAGAATATGTTTATGTAGTGTAATTTCTTTTTAAAAAAGTTGTTTTCAAATCATTTTTTAAATTATTTTGTTTGCAAAATATTTAGTTTAGTTTGAAAATAATATGTGCAATATTTTTAGTCTCAATTTAAAACTTTAACTGATTTTATTTTTTTATTATTTTTTGCAGGTCTAATTCAAAGTTTAAGGAGTGGTCAATTATTTATTATTTGTAATTATTTGTAATGTTTTTTAAATTTTGTATGTGTTGTAATTATTCACTTTCTTGACATGATTGCATATTTATTCATTTATAGAGCAATATAAAATAGTATAAAAAATGAATAATTATTATTTTATTGTCTAAATATTTCATTCAATTAAGTTTATGCCTAATAAATTTTTGTAACTGCCACATTTAATACACAACATATTCATTTTTGCCACATTTATTGTCTGTAACGTTTTTTGGCGGGAATATGAAAATAGGTTTTATTAAATGTTTTATTAAATGCTATATGCTAGCAATTATATATATATAGATTTATCTTAATTATAATAATAAAAAAAACAAATACATAGATTAAATTTGTCCGCTGTGCACTTCTACTATACTTAACTATAATTAGTCACACACTGATTTGTATTTATTTATTGCTAATGTTTCAAGTAAAATTCAATAAAAATTGAAGACACTTACATAAATATTAACATAAATTTGGAATAATTTTGTTTGCACTAAACACATTGTCAAAAATCATGAAGTTTTAAATTTTAATTGAAAATGATACCATAATATGGACATGGTAAAATTTGCTTAATAAGTTATTGTAATACTAATAGAACAATTGGTTGGTAAAATTTGCTTAATAATTTATTGTAATACTAATAGAACAATTGGTTATATCTTTTAGCATTTATATTTAAGTTTTTTACTTATTGTTTTTAACATGTTACACATTCTAGCAGGTAGGTCAGCCTCTTTGTCATCTTATCTTCTATGCAAGATTTGCAGGTTATCAGGCAAGATTTGTATGTCGGGAAGCCCTCGACTTCTAACGATATCAAGGGTCCATATGCCATTAATCTATGTATTTTCCCTAAGTTTATATGACAAAGATTTAGATGACATATGTCATCAGTCTTTGTATCATGATAAGGTCTATATGAACAAGTTTTAGATGCCGTAAATATGATTCCTTCATTTTAGAGGTTCTTTTTTCTTATTGTAATTAGATGATTAATTAAATAATTGTTTGTGTTGCACGGGAGACCTTGGTTTTAGAAAATACTGATTGCCAATTAACAATCTAGAGCAAATAAATTTCTTACTAAACCAAATAATAACTTTAATATCAAATGATACAAAAAAATCATTTGCAACAAGTTTAGAAATTGAAATGATTTTTTTATTTTTTTTTTAAACTAAGAACATAAAGACAATTGTTCAAAACTAAAGTCATATCTAATTCAAAGCGTAGATGTACGTCTGCTATTGCATTAGTTTTCCTCCTCTTCCATAAGTAGTCTGGTTTCTTAGAACACTTGCAATTCATTGCAAAGATGATTAATCTATGCATCATTTAATAATAGATAATACTGCTAAATACTTTTCCACGACTAATGAAAGAGATTTACCTTTAGCGTTCTGACAATTAGACTTCCACTGTCCCCTCTGCTTGCATCGGTGACACTTGCCTTTCGGCTTACTTGTTGCCATTTGCCTGCGCAGCAGCTACAAGCACACGCACTATCGTCTTTTTCGCAGAATTCTTCTTCTTATTACCCTTATTGGTCCTAGAAGAAAAAGGCGAGGCCTGCTCAGCTACCAACACCTGACTGTTTTGACAAAAATAGGCTTTCTGCCAACTGGAGTTCAGCGAGTAGTTTGAAAGAGAGAACATCTTATTCATGTTATAGTTTATAAAGAACTGACCGAAACATGATCCCTACCGAGAGTACCCTGACGCATGCGCGTGTTCATCAACACTCTCGTAGCCTTTTGTCAGGCAGCCCGTGACCCGTGATCGAACAAATCTTTGAGATTAAAGAGTATGTCCA